CAAATTTTTTGCAAAAGGTAAAAGATTGGTGGTAAGAAGGTGGAATAAGGGCTAGAGAGAAAGTGGTGAGATTCTCCAAGAAGCTGAAAAGTTTGAAGGAAAAGGTCAAGGAGTGGAACAAAGAGGAATTTGGAAAACTTGAGGTCATAAAGGAGGAATTAGCCAGGAAAATAGAGGAAGTGGACCAAAAGGAGGCCCGGAAAGAGTGCGGGCCGGAGGATAGAGCTGAAAGATGGAACCTAAAAGTGCAACTAGAGGAGATCCTGAGAAAGGAAGAAATTTCTTGGAGGCAAAAATCTAGGTGTAAATGGCTTCTGGAGGGGGATGGAAATACCAGATTTTTCCACTCCCTAGCAAACGGGAGAAGACGGAAAAACCAAATCTCCAGTATAGAGGTGGAGGGAAGAGTAGTAGATTCAAAGGAGGAAATTGAAAGGTGCTTTGTGGATCATTTCAAGTCAATCCTTGCCTCCTTTGATGAAAGCAATGCAGAATTGGGAGAATTATAGTGGAACAAAGTGCCAAAATCCGAAGCTACCCTCCTAGAAAGAGCTTTCAATGTTGAGGAGGTACATGAAGCAATTTTCTCGATGGATAGATCTAAAGCTCTGGGATCGGATAGATTTTCAATGGCTTTCTATTAGGATTATTGGGAAATCATGAAAGATGAATTAATGGATGTATTTGTGGAGTCCTATCAAAAAGGGAAGTTATCGCCTAGAGCAAATGCAACTTTTATTGCTTTAGCGCCAAAAAAGGAGGCCAAAACCCCTAAGGATTACAGACCGATAAGTGTTGTGAGTAGCTTGTATAAGATCATTGCTGAAGTCCTGGCTGGTAGGTTGAAGACTGTCTTGCCCTATGTTATCTCTCAGAACCAAGGAGCCTTTGTAGAAGGGAGACAAATTGTGGGACAAATCTTAGTGGCAAATGAATGTGTGGCAGCTAAGAAAAAACAAGGTGGCAAAGGTTTGATTTGCAAATTGGACCTAGAAAAAGCTTATGATATGGTGGATTGGTCCTTCCTATTGAATCCCATGGAAAAGATGGGGTTAGGTGAAAGGTGGAGGATGTGGATTAAAGGATGTATTAGCTCGGAACATTTTTCTATTCTGATGAATGGGGTAGCAAAGGATTTCTTCCAAGCTAAAAGAGGACTCAAACAAGGTGATCCCTTATCGCCACTCTTATTCACTTTTGTGGCTGAGGTCTTGAGTAGACAAATCACCAAGGATGACCAAGATAACTAGTTTAAAGGTTGGAGGATGGAGGATGGGTAGATCAGAAGTGGTGGTGTCTCACTTGCAATTTGCCGATGATATGATCATTTTCTGTGAAACATGTGATGGATCCAGTTTAAGGAATCTGAAAACATTGGTGAATAAGTTTCAACAGGCCTCCAAACTGAAAGTAAATTGGGGAAAAAGTTGTGGCTGGAATAAACATTAGGGAAGGGGACATCCAAGTCATGGCAAATTTGCTAGGATGTGAAGTGAAAAGCTGGCCTCTAGAATACTTAGGTATGCCCTTGGGAGGGAACCCGAAAGCCGAAAGCTTCTGGAAGCCAGTATTAGAGAGGTTCACAGAGAAGTTGGCAATGTCGAAGAGAAATTATATTTCCATGGGGGAAGAATCACCTTGATAAAATCTACCCTAGCAAACCGACCCACTTATTTCCTCTCCACCTTTAAGATCCCGGTGAAAATAGCTAGGAAGTTGGAGAAGATTATGAGGGATTTTTTGTGGGAACCTGGCGATGAGAAGAAGGATCATTTAATGAAGTGGGAGCAAGTTTGTTAAGGAGCAGGGTGGCCTAGGTATAGGGAACATATTAAAGAAAAATAAGGCCCTTCTAGGGAAATTGCTGTGAAGATTCCCTTGTGAAGAAGATAGGTTGTGGCACAGGGTCATTAAAAGCATTCATGGTGAAGCAGATAACGGCTGAGATGCAAAACTAGCTTCCAATGCAGCTCCAAATTCTCCCTGGAAGGCAATCTTTGAGGTTTTACCAACCTTTCTTCAATTTATCAGGTTTGATGTTGGATGTGGCAATAAAGTTTTATTCTGGGAAGACCTTTGGGTTGGGGATGTGCCTCTAATGGTTAAATTCCTGAACCTCTACTCCTTATCAAACCTTAAAAACAAACCCGTTGCTAGGTTTGGTATGTTTTCAGATTTGGGTATCTCTTGGAATTTTGGATTAAGATGAGGGTGGAGGGAAAATGAATGTGAGTCTCTAGTGCTTTTGATCTCAACACTTGAGAGGGTCTACTTAGACCAATCTATAGCTGATATTAGAGTTTGGTCCCCAACTCCTGATGGTTTATTTTCTTGTGCATCTTTCTTTGGTTTGCTCACTCACTCTAATCCTATGGGGGCGAACTTCCCAGTGAGAGAAATCTGGTGTAAATTGATCCCTCCAAAAAGTACAAGCTTTCTGTTGGAAAGTGTTCCTAGGGAAGGTAAACACTTGTGATGTGGTACAGAAAAGGAGGCCAAACAAATGCCTCTCTCCTCATGTGTGTGTCCTTTTTATGGATTGTGGTGAAACCCTAATCCACTTACTTTTATCCTGCTCTTTTGTTTCTGGTATTTGGAATGTTGTTTGTTCTCTCTTTGGATGCAAATGGGCTCCCCCACAGGATGTGGTAATTCTTTTCAGCCCCTCCTTCCTGAGACAACAGAAGAAAAGAGGAATGTGCTTATGGAAGGCAGCAAGAGCAACTACAGTATGGACTATATGGGAGGAAAGAAACCTAAGAATTTTCTCTGAAAAAAGTAAATCAAAGGAGGAAGTTATTGAAGCCATAAAAATCAGAACTGCACATTGGGTGAAGACCATGGAGCTATTCAAAAATTACTCCACGAATGAGATTCTATGAAGTTGGGCTGAAGTAGCACAAACAGATGCACCCAAAGTAATTGTGAGTGTGGAATGGAAGCCATCGGCACTGAACAAACTAAAACTAAACTTTGATGGGAGTTCTTTTGGTAACCCAAAAAGGGCAGGCATAGGGGGTGTGATTAGAAATCATTTGGGTGTGGTGATGGCACTCTTCTTAGGACCAATAGGTATTGGTGACTCAATACAGGCTGAATCTCTAGCCCTACTTCAAGGTCTAAAGATGGCTGAGCAGATAGGAACAAAAGACTTAGAAATAGAAGGAGACTCACTACTGGTCATTTCTTAGGCTAAAAACATCACATCAGTACCTTGGAAGCTCAAATTTATCTTCAGAGAAATTGACATACTTGCAAGGAGGATCAACTCTCAGTTTGGTTGGATCAAACGGAATGCAAATGGGATGGTGGATGCCCTTGCAAAACAGGGGGCAAATAGATTTACATTGTACTAGGCAGAATTGTAGCTGATTGCATGTGGTTGCAGATTAGATTAATGCTTTTCTGCAACCTATAACTATTGTAACTGATTGTAACTTTTTCTCTGTTATTAATTAAAAAATTTCTTGCTGATCAAAAAAAAAAAGTCCTCTCTCTAGGAGAAGACAAGTGGCATCCCATTTAAGACATGGGACACCCCATGAGAGAAGGTGGGGCTAGGCTTTTAGATATTTAGATGGGTCTCTCTTAACTAACTTAACCCCTTTAGGGCCTGCTTCCCATTTAAATGGGCTCTACTGTTGGCCAATTAAATGTTTAATGAATTGTTATTATGGCCCAAACCGCTTTTAAATTAATTTAGGATCTTCTGTCCACTTAAATGGACTAAAGATTAAGCATACACGACTGGTCTAAAAAGGAACTTTTATAAGCTATGACTGGGAGTAGCTTAATAACCTGTTCCCAATCCAGCAAACTTTGAGGCCTCAACAAACAGCAATCCTATGAATAATATTGGGTTTGTACAACAAGGAATACGAAATGCCCATATTTTGATACTTTAAAACAATATTACCTTACCTTCTTCAAGAAAAACTAAAATACCCATGTTTTTTATGGCTTTCCAACACCCATCATGCTCACAATGGTTTTTAAATACAACATGCTATCAAAGGAGTTTGTTGCAACTTTATGGATATCTATCCTTTTTCTTTCTTTCCTTCTCATACTGCCTTATATCCCCCACCCAATAACAACAACAATAACAACTTGTATCAATAATAATTACTATCTAAGATATAAACAAAAAGACTTGAATGTCATTGTGATTTGGTCTATACTCTATACTAACCTGTATGTCAAATTCATAGTTGTCAGCCTCGCCTAATCGCCTAACAGTTTTCTACTTCCAAATATAAAATTCTTTTTTATTCATTCTTTTTTGAGATTATAATTATAAAATAGACATTATTAAGCTAAAATAATCATTTTGTGTGTTTATATACTAGTTTCTTTTTATCATTTTCTTATTTATTAGGGTTTAATCAACACAAACATTGCTAAATGCTGTATTGAACCCTCAAAGACTTAAAAACCTGAACCAATAAGGAAGAACTAAAAATTTTATCTAATCAGCACATTTTCCACTACTACCAATACTAATTGTTTTCTTCTTTTCCTATAATAAAAATAAGGGTTCAGCCCCTATATTTTTTTAATTTTATTTTCCTTCTTGCTTTTCTTCTCATGAATATGTTGATTTTCTATACTTTAATATGAAATTTATAATTTTCTAATGAAAATCATGAATAGTTATTAAAGAAATATGGTTATGGTACCTAGGGAACTACCCTAGGATCTATGTTTTTAACATAAAAAATCCATCACCTAGGCGACAAGGCGCCCCCCAGTCACCTAGCCTTGCCTTGGCGCCTTGAAAACTATGGTCAAATTCATAAAGGAACAAAATAAAAACTAAAACTATATGATGGTACACAATATCGTCATCATTTATGCCTTGTTCCAACTACATGGGGCCACATGCATAAATCCTGTTCCGCCATTTGATTCTGTTCAGTACCATTTCCATGATAGTATGCAGTATATGAGATTGCTTAATTTGTAAATTGTTCCCATGGGTTCTACATGAAATATAATACCTTCAAAAGTGAGCTGAGAGCAGAGCGTGTTTCATTCCTTATTAATTGGCAATTGTCTAACTTTGAATCTGTGCACTCAAATGCTTCCTGTAATTGTGCTGATACAACTGAATCCAGAACTGGCTTGGTGGAGTTGATCCATTCCCCATGATTATATTTGAATTCATACCTATTTTAAGGCAAAAAGTAATTAAAGACTGAGAAACAAAAATATCACTACAAGGAAAAAGTGTTCTACATTGACCCAGAAAATCTTGCATATGGAGACATAGTTTGGGGCTTGCAAGGAGTCCCCCTATAATCAATCTTAAGTTCTTTTTTTTTATCAATAACAGAATTTCATTGGAATTAATTAGGAGGTAATACAATCAAACAGAGGGAGGTAAACTGTCTTAACTCCCCCACAAGCAAAAAACAGAATTAGAAAGAAGCCCAAAACAATGAAGCCCTATACACCCCTTGTTTAGCTAGCCCATCAGCAAAGGCATTTGCAGTTCTTTTAACCCAGCTGTACTTAACTTCAATATCCTTTGCCAGCCATTTAACTTTTTTCCTATCATTGTTGTATTTCCACAAACCAGGCTTGTCTTCCTTTAACCAACTTACTACTATCTCTGAATCTCCTTCAAGAATCAGTCTCCTAATATCCAGTTCTCTTGCTCTTTGGATCCCTTCCAGGGCTGCTGTATCTCAGCCCTGAGAGAATCACCCTCTCCAATTGGACCAGAGAAAAGGGCTATAGAATTTCCTTCCTCAGTTCTGAAAACCACTCCAATTCCTGATTGTCCTGGATTCCCAATGCTGCTGCCATCAAAGTTTAACTTTATATACCCAGCAGAAGGGAGGATCCAAGAAGGACTAATGACCCTCTTGACCTGGACTGGTTTTGCTATTTCTTTCCAATTTCTCAACAAAACATCCACAGAAAAGTCTGAAAACAAATCCATGGATTTCAGCCAGTGCACTACCCTCAAGTGGATCATCTCCATTAAGTTCTGAGCTTCCATCTCCTTTTCCGAGAAGATTCTGGAGTTTCTTTCTTCCCACAAAGACCAACATACAGCAACCCACAGCTCTCTGCACTAGCTATTCAGGACTTTTAGCTCTATTACAAAAAATTCTGTTGTTCCTTTCAGTCCAAATGGACCACAAGAGAGCTGCAGGAATGGTCCTCCACACTAATTTTCCTTTCTTGCTTAGGCCTTTAACTTTCCAGCAGCACAGCAGCTCCCTGACCGACCTTGGCATAGCCCAGCTGGTGTCCATAGATTTCAGGAAATGCTCCCACACCAGGGAGGAGACCGAACAGTGAAGACAGAGCCACAGAGGTGATCTGTAGATTCAGGGAGGGAACCACAAAGTCCACGAGAAGAATCCAAATTGTGGATGCCTACTCCTTTCTTTTTCTTCAAAAATCCTTGCATTTCTTTATTTCCACAATGTCCATACAATTGCAGCTCATGTACACTTCCACATCATTCTAAACTTTTTCCTTTGAGCATCTAACCACATGCAACCAAAACGAGCAAGAAACCAATTCCAAATAGAACAAGCCAATGATCGGGAGATTAATAGGTGGTATGCAGTCTCAACATTCAATTTGCACATGATGGACCCGTTAGGAGATAAAGGCCAACTAGGTCTCTTTTTTTACAACACGTCACAGGTGTTGATACTTCCATGGAAAACTCCCCAACGAAAAAGCACTAACTTTTGGGAGAAATATAGGTGCACACCAAACTTCCTTCATAGGAAAGGACCCAGATGGGGGAGTTGCCCTAACCAACATGTTAAAAAAGGAACCACAAAAAAACTTATTCGCAGAGTTAGGAATCCAAATTTGTTTATCCCTAGCTGAGTTATCAAGAACCACCCCACGCAGCAAACTCAAAAGACTAGAAACAGGAACTAATTCAGACTCTCTCAGATTTCTTCGAACACTCAAATTACAATCAAAACCAAGGGATGAAGAAAGGTAAAACAAGCTCAGAGATTGGTTTATTTTTAGTAATTGTTGCCAGCCCCTTGTTATATCATCCATCAAGAATAGTTCAAAAAGAACAATTGTTTTGACCCAATATGCCACCTTAGCAGCAATATTTTCAATCAATGCTTCAACCGTATGGAACTCTTTTTTTATAATTTTTTTATCAGCAACCTTAAAATGATTTCATTAATTAGAAAAAATTATGGATACAACAAGGGGTTGTGAAAACAACCAGCTTTACTAAGCTGATCCAAAGCAGAATTACAAATGAACCCAAAACATATATGTTCTTTGAACCCCTTGCTTAGCTAAGCTATCTGCCAAACTGTTAGCAGATCTCCTCACCCATCTCACACAGATTGACATGTCCCTTGACAGCAATTTAAATCTCCTGAATTCATTCCTCAAATGCCATGTCACCCCTTTCCCCTTCTGCAACCATTTTATCACAGTTTTTGGATCTCCCTCAATGATCAGTCTATTAATACCCAACTCTTTAGCCTTATCAACCCCATATGCTGCAGCTAGAAACTCTAACCTTGCCACATCACCCTACTCCACAGGACCAGAATACAAAGCAATGATATTTCCATCTTCATCTCTAATGCCCCCCCCCAATGCCTGAGGGACCCGGATTACCCACACAACTCTCATCAAAGTTCAGCTTCTTCCAGCCATCTATTGGGGGAGACCATGCCTCAACAAATTGGATGAAGATGCTGCAATAATACCCCAAACCCTAAAAAGTCTTCGACCTTAAAATCTGAAAACATCTTCAAGATTTTTGCCCAATGTGCCACCCTCAACATTATTGTTTCAACCAAGGCTTCCCTACTTTTTTCTTTTCCTTCAAATATTCATGCATTTCTTTCCTCCCAAACAGTCCAAATTAGTGCTACTCTAGCACATCTCCACAGGATCCTACCCCTCCTTTTAGTGCCACTAATACCATTAGGGCTGAACAAACCATCCAATCTGTCAAGAGAAGACCACCTGCAACCAAAAAGGGAAGCAAACCAATTCCAAATAAAGCTAGCAAAAAGGACAAGATCTTAGGTGGAAAGCAGTCTCACCATTTTTTTTTTTTTTTGAAAAAGAGCAGTCTCACCGTTCAACTTACACAGGACACACCAGTTGGGGGATAAACACCAATTTGGTCTTTTTCATTGAAGAACATCAAAGGTACTAATACAACTATGAAACACTTCATAACAGAAAGCACTGATTTTAGGGGGAATGGGAGAGCACCAAATTTCCTTGACTGGGAAAGGATGAGTGGATGAGGTGGCTACCAACGAGTACTCTTCTTTTATAATCCAATAATCTATGTATCCTTAAAATAAACTTAAAGCCAAAATTGCGGACAGATTGCTGATTTACTTCAACCAATAATTTGCAGGTGGAGTCTTCCACCTCAAATTGGGTAAAACTCAATTTTGATAGGTGCAGCCTAGGCAATTCATTTCCATCAGGAGTGTGGGGAGTATTGAGAAATAACAAAGGTGCTATTTTTGGTTATCTACTCTGGTCTTATAGGCCAAGGAAACTCTATTAAAACAGAAGCCATGATGCTACTACAAGGTTTGAAGCTTAGCAGATTGCTCAACATTACAAATCTTCTAGTGGAAGTTGATTCAACCAGTGCAAGAAAAGCCAAGTTCTTGGTTGTTCAGACAACACATAGGGAGATAAGGAAGTTATCAAGGGCAATGAATCCAAGATTCACCTGGATACAAAGATCAGCAAATGAAAAACATAGCAGACAGTTCAACATCATCACTTCAATATCAAAATGAACATAAGGCAAGTAAAATAAGGCCTTCTCCTGCACCTTAGAATTTATTTTTCTGTAGTTGCATCGTTCAACATATTTATTCCCATATAAATAGATCACCTTATCTAATTTTTCAATTAGTTACCACCCTATTTAATGTTTGGATCTGTTTCCCATCTTATTCATCCACTTCAACCACTGATGAGTCACAAGGCTTAACCCTCGTGACTCTAGGCTTCTATCTCTCAAATTTGGAACTGCAAGTGCCTCATCTGATATCCTTCGCCTTTGAAACACTTATATCAGCCTAATGTTCTATACCAAACATGCTAGATGGCATGTGCATATTTTTCTTCTCCTTTTTCTGATTAAAAAGAAAACAGTAAAATTTGTTTTAAGAAGACAAAGGAAGGCATAAAGTTATAAGCACCAAAAACTACACAAAAATATTTTTTAAGGAATGACCTTTTTTTTATCAAAACAGGGTGTTGAGTACTTAAGTTTGCTGGACTGGGGGTAGGTTATTAAGATACTCCCAGTCACAGCTTAAAAAATAATAATAATAAAGAAGAGAAAAGGGCTTTCTTAAAAGCCCAATCAGTCCTCTGGTGTAACGGGATCTGCTCCTCACAAATGGGCGCCTCACATGCACATCCACCATGCATTGGGAATATCTCCCATGAATAATATCAAATAATTACGGGAGATATTCCCAATGCATGATAGGATGTGCGTGTGAGGCGCCTGGTGTGAGGAGCAGATCCGGTCTCCCTATTGGTGGGCTGAAACATTTTAATAAAGAAAGGGGCCTGCAGTCTAATTTAGTGAACAACAGGCCCCAAGTTATTTGGGCTTATTTATAATGCAATAAGCATTTAATGGGCCTGCAGTAGAGCTCATTTAGTGGAACAGCAGGCCGTAAAAGAATAAATCCAGCTTGATTAATTAGTTGTGAGGTGTCTCACTTATTTATGAGGGGATGCCACTTATCCTATTCTAACAAGAGGATTTATTTTCCCTCCTTTAACCACTTGAAGTGGGGGGACACATGTCACCCAAGGGAGAATGATTTATTTTCCCTCCTTTAACCACTTGAGGTGGGGGGACACATGTCACCCTAGGGAGAATGATTTATTTTCCCTCCTTTAACCACTTGAAGTGGGGGGACACATGTCACCCTAGGGAGAAGGATTTATTTCCCCTCCTTTAACCACTTGAAGTGGGGGGACACACGTCACCCTAAGGGAGAGAGAGTTATTTTCCCTCCTTTAACCACTTGAAGTGGGGGGTGACATGTCACCCTAAGGGAGAAAGAATTATTTTCCCTCCTCTAACCACTTTAAGTGGGGGGACACTTGTCACCTTAGGAAGGAAGAGTTTTCTTTTCCCTCCTTAACCCATTTTAAGTGGGATGACACTTGGCACTCTAAGAAGAGAGGAGTGGGGAGTTGCTTAACCACCTCCCTCCTCTATATAAGCCCCTCTCCTACAAGGAGAAGAGGCTAATGCCTTTTTGTTGGCTATTACTAATTKATYTGCAKGATTTCTAGCRTTAAGAAACAAGTGGGAAGAGAAAAGAGAAGAAGATTGGTGTGGAGAGCATAAAAGAAAAAGGAAGAAGAAGGTAGGGAATCCGGTTTCCTTCCTACACCTCTTCAATATGATACTCCTTGTGTTTCCCATATGAGATGGAAGACCATACTCTATCTATTCCTCTCACTCCTTTCTTTCTTCCCTTTATTTTTCTTTTCTTCCTTGTTTCATATTGAAATACATGTAAGGAGACAACCATCTACAGCCTTGTTCATGAAACTTGGCTGATTATGGTTCCTTACAACCTACTAACCTATGTGTGAGGGGAAAAACCATCTACAGCTTTGTTCATGAAACTTGGCTGATTATGGTTCCTCAAAGCATGATAATGCACACAACCACAATTTAAAGGCCATTTGTAGCCTTATTAATGAAACATGCTTTTTTATGATACCTATTTACTTGTTATGCATACAATGTTTGTTTCTTTATATGCTGGTTTTCTCTCAAACAAAGAGAGAATATATACCAGAATTTTCAAAGGAAAATTCTGTAGAAAATTCATACTTAGTTTAGTCTTTATTCATTGGTACTTCTAAATCAGAACCAAAAGGTTTTCTCTGCTCCTAACAGAGATGTAACTAAGGGAATATCTACGTGATTTCCCGAATGGGGTTTACCCAAATAACAAAAAAAAACCCAATTATTAGTTTAATTGGGTGAATTATGTTATGTGAGAAATTATACTAAAAAAAATTCCACTAACACAGGGTGAGAGTGTTCTTTTCCAAATTACAGTTTACAGTTCAGCCCAAAACAATTGGGGTCTCCTAGCCCCTTGTTTAGCTAGAGTATCTGCCATCCCATTTGCTGTTCTTCTCACCCATTTGAAAGTAACATTCAACTCCTTTACAATGCTCACAATCTCCCTAAAAATATGCCCATAGATCCATGGGACTTGGGTGCTACATCTTGTCCAAGCAATGACCACTTGAGAGTCCCCTTCCACTTCCAAATTAAGGAACCCAAAGTACCTAGCAAATCTTAATCCCTGCAGGAGTCCAATTAGCTCTGCAGTCAGTGTGTCCCCATATTCTAGAGGCCCTGAATACAAAGCTAACACCTTTCCTCCTGAATCTCCGAAGACACCTCCCAATCCCAGCTACATTTTAAGGAATGGCCTTCTTCCCAATCCCAATACCATGTTTTGTTAGCTACTAGAAAATCTTGAACCATATATGGTGATGTCAAAGACTTTTTACCAAGACAACTTCAAACATAAGCAGGTAAAAGTAAGAATATTGCCATAGAATCTAATAGTCCTGTTAGTCTTATCACATCAGCTCAGTTATCAAAACAACCACCCAAGAGTCATTGTATAACCCCATGTGGCCCAATTTCTGCAGTTTCAAGGATCCCAGAACCTTGTAACAGAAATTCTAATTCACAAATAGCAAGAATAGCACAACGATGTGATCCCAAGCAAGAAAATACATTAAGAGATATGTGCCAAGTATAAAAAAGGATAAACAATTCCCAAAATGTTCCAAATAGGTTTACAATATAAGAATAACCTGACCTTTGAAGGAACTGCATGGAACTTGCAAGTGATCTTAAGGAAGACGTTTTTAGTTCACCAGTTTTGTTCTTGTCATGAAACATATTCAAGCTTGGAACTTTTGAACCCAAATACTCCCCAAGGTTCATATGCTTTAGTACCTGTCCTGTAGTAATAATTTATAACAGACAAGGCTCAGCTATTTCACAACAAGAAGATAAGAAAGAAACAAACAATTATGCAAACAAATGCAAATGCATAATAACAACATACTTCCAAACAGCTTCTCGGTAGATTTGATAACCACTTGAGCAACCCGGTTTGAAGGAATTTTTAGTAGTTGAAAACAGTCGTCAGCTATTATAACTTGCCTTGGCATCCATTGATCTGCATATGGAAGTTGCAGCAGCACATGACCAACTCGGCATAAAACACTAGGATCTTTAGCAAACCATCCTGTATAGTGGATATAGAAAACCAGATGATAGAAAGAGTCAGAGGGACGTGGAATATCCTTCTCCAGGCATTAAAATTTACAATTTTTGTTAACAGATAAAAAGGAGGAAATCCCATGCAATATGGAATAACAGGGGAACAAAATAATTCCAGTACAAGAACAATAGAACATTATAATGCCAAGTAAAAACTTAAAGAGAAAGAAAACAGAAAAAAAAAAAAAAAAGGTATTATAGATCGGCCCTTGGCCTGGTGCAATTTTGGGTTAACTAAAGAATAGTGATGTAATAATTGGAATGTTCTACAGATAAGGAGGCAATACATTTTTAAGTTCAAATTAAGATAATGCAGCCTATTCCGGTACTTCATATGTAAACCCATAAGCAAATAAATAACTAAATGTACCACCATAAGAACCTAAACTTTTTTCTGATAAATATAAGAGCCTAAACTTTATTTCATCATTAATGTTAAGTGGAGAAACATAGAACTAAAAGATGATTGAAAAGTTTATTTCATAATCGCTGTTTAATTGGAGAAAACAATACAAAGATTTATTTTTTTCTCTTCTTCTTCTTTTTTTTTTCGTTTGATCGCTCTTCTCCTATTTTTCTTCTGATCCATCTCCTTCTCTGCCCTAATCATTATTACATCTAGCTAACTCATTTCATATTTATCCAAGTGCAAGAAACATCCAAGCATATAACTCTTACATAATTTGCTACCATAACATGCTGACTACAGGATTGGGGCTAGGTTAGTAAGTTTACATATTGCCCTCCAATAGAAAATAAGTTTACTCATCATCACTAATCCATCAGCTCTATCTCAGATCTCAAGATAAGCTTTATACTATCTGACAAGTTAAACTTAACAGCCATAAAGTACCCATATACTTCATATTAGCAAGTGAACATACTGAAATTGAACTAAAAAGAGGTCTTTTCCCAGACGTACCAATAGTATCAAGGCTTGGTGAAACAGGAGTGACACCCATGTGAGAAATGGCCCCATATGAGGGTCGAAAACCTATTATGCCACAAAACCCAGCAGGTACTCTAACACCTCCAGCAGTATCAATACCTGACATAGACCATCATCCATGAAGAACCAAATTAAAGAATAATAAAAACAACAAAATCAGCTTCTCTGACTACCCCTACTGAGAAAAGCAGAAATGATTATTTTCATTTACGAGTTCTAAGACAAATTTCATCAATTTCAGAAACAAAATTATCACAATAAACCATTCGGCATGTAAAAATATTGACATGAAAAAAAAATAACAAAATTATTAAGTTCAAGAACGGCTTAAGCAACAAACCCCCTCTTGAAAAATACAAGGAAAAAAAGTGGGAAGATGGCCTATGACATGTCTGTTTGAAATTAAGTAAAATAAAACAATATATTAGCAAGTTGGAAAACTTATAACTGTACTCATGCCCAAGACCAGAGTGTTTAGACCCTTTGGTATTCGGTACCCACTCAGACTCACATCAAATATCTTCTAATTCTGAATGTTCAAACATTTTACATAATTTCCACTGGTGAGAAAAAATACAATTGAACATTTTAGAAAAATCAGAGATGAAAAGCAGAATCCATCTCCACCTTTGTGCCTTGGTGTTCCATGAGGCAGCTAAGGCCCATATTGTCACTCTAATGTTTTTTTTTTTTTTTTTGAAACTGTATGTTGTCACTCTAACATTGTTTAATTAACCTTCTTAATAAGTTTGAATTGGTAAAGAAATGGTGCTTTTTTTGATAAATGGAAATGGTGATGTTTCATTTGTAAGCAAGTTGAACGAGACCAAACCAATGATCTTAATGTTATACTCTTGGCCTCTATTGAGACCTAAACTACCTTCCATATTATAATCTGCAAAGCTATTAACTTCAATACATTAGAGATCAGAATCAATGCCTTCTTCACACTTCTGGCTAACCCAAGTGTCGCTCTTGTATTCCAGACAATAGGTATGTCACAATCAGAATAATGCATGATGCAATATGATTCAGAAACTAGTTTCCTGGTAAGGTAAAGCAAGTAAACATGAAAACAAATTCTATCACCTAAAGGCAATGACAGTTTTTATAGAGAACCTAAGTCTTTTCAAGACGAAGTATAGAAAACTAAAAAATACCATGTACATGTAATTCCTGCACAATGGTGTCAAAAATAGAATATTGTACTGGGTGTAAAAGAACTATAATAGAATAGATGGTAGGGCACAAAGATTTTACAATGGCATCTATATCTCATTAGTTTGGTCTCATTTTACAGTAAACACTATTAATTCACTAATTCATACAGTAAAACCATAGTGGAGTTTAAAAGAAAGATATGTTAGGAACTCACCCAAAGAGAAGTCAACTAGTTTACCAGAGACCGCAGCAGCAGATCCGCTGGAAGCCCCTCCTGGCACCCGTGCTGGAGCTGCAGGATTGGTGGGTGTATCATAATGTTTGTTTTCTCCGCTAATACTGGTAATGTATCAGAGAAAAAAAAGTATGTAAATCAGAACAAAAATAACGTAGGGCATAGGGGAAAAGACAGATAAACAAGTATTTATCAAAAAAAAGACAGATAAACAAGTTATATCTTCATAACAATTGAAGTTTGCCCCAATTGTGATAAGTAAGGAGAAAAGACAGATAAACAAGTATTTATCAAAAAAAAAGACAGATAAACAAGTTATATCTTCATAAAAATTGAAGTTTGCCCCAATTGTGATAAATAGGGAGAGGTCCGGCAACACTACTAAACCAAATATATGTACTAGTTGGAGCATCGTAATCTTTATTTTCTCCATTAGTGCTTGTTAAGTTTCTGAGATAAGTGATATCATCAGAAGAAAACTACAATAGAACACGGGAAAAAAAAAAAAAAAAAGATAAACAGAGGTAAGTTCTTTGCAAGCAATGAATATTATCCTGAAGTTATTGATCAAAAAAAATCTTATCCTGAAGTAAGATCTGGTTTTTTCTTTGGGGAGGGAGCTCAAAATGTAATTAAGAATGAATCCTCGCCAAAGTGTAAAACAATGGTTTTTTTTTTTTGTAAAGATAAAACAATGGTATATCTAACATAAAAGAACAAAGGAATAATAAATGAATAAATAAATCATAATAACAATGAGTTTGTAGTGCATGTTAAGAAAATGAAAATTTAGTTATGAAGAAAGAAAAAGCATTAACAACATTGACTGGTTTACAGGATCATATAAATTGGGTTTTACGGGATTTGATTCCCTTTAGGATGCAGAAGACATATTGCCATGAGATCTTTTTGTCGCCACTTCACATATTTATCAAGTTATAACTACTAGGGGTATAAATGAATAAATAAATCAAGTCCTAACCCATATGCCATATCATCCACAACTGTTTTCCCAACACAAGTAGCTCCCCCTTCTACAAGAGATGAAACCACAGGAGATGTCCGAGTTGCAGCCTCATGGGTCTTCACCCAGTCTGGATTGCCAAACCCAGTTACACATCCATCGATATCAAATCTGGTTATCACAAAACAATCAAAATTTGACATTGATGAGAAAATAGAAATATTTCTGGGATCATAGGTGTAAAAAAAAAAATAAGAAACAAAAAACAAAGCTATATAGACTCTAGTCATTTATATCAGATATAATAATCATTAAAATAATAAAAACATTCATTATTTTTACCAAATCAAAATGTGCACAACAGAAACCAACTTTTATTTGGCATAAAAGTACAAGGTAGACAGCTTTCTTTTTTCTTTCATTCTGATATATAGGTTCCTGCAAGTACCTCCTTTTGGATAATAGAAGTTAACTCAACCCATCAGAGCATTTGGAAATAGCTACATGAATCCTGTTTTGATATTCCACTATGCCAAAAGCCATCCTCTGCTATTTGAATAATGAGTTCTCAGATCTTTTTTAGTACTTCATCCCACATCTTTTTTGACTTCCCTCTACCTGGCTACCTCCATTAGAACCCTTAAATTATACATCTTTACTAGTTAGTAGGCAGTATCCTATGCATAAACTTAAACCATCTTTACTTGATTTATTATTGATTATGTCCTTTCTAGTCTTACCACCTAACCATCTAAACATGTCATCTCCCCACTTGGAACATGGAGAGTATAAAACTAGTAACCGGAAGGAGTTATTTAATCTATATTCCATAATCAATACTTTCCAAAATAATCTTTTTTATCTAGGAAATAGGAAAATGTAAAGAGGTGACAAGACTACCAAAATAAAATTGACCAGGCAATAGATACTCAAATTGATTATACAAAATATAACAGATCAGCAACTCAAAATGGCAAAGCAACAGCTACTCAACTTCGACTATACGGAATGTAATAGATCAGCAATGGCAATAATCAAGATTAAACTTCTGCGCACCAATCAGACAGTATAACTTTTTTTTCTTTTGCTAATTGCACATAAAATCTGTCAATGCATGCCAGTCATTTCCATTCACTCACACCCTCAATTGCCACCACCCTTCACGCCTCATGGTAATCAGGCAAAACAAATTAACATAACGTAACAGGGCATCCTTCAATCAATCAACCAACCAACTAAAACATTTAACAAAAAGAAAAACAAAAAATTAATAAACTGAAATAAAAGAAAAACAAAACCAGTTTAAAACAACGAACATATTAACGATTACCCAATTCCGCAAGTTAAAAGACAATCACCATGACCACAAACACATGAGAACATTGCCATCACGGCTTAAAACCCATAATTGAAAAGAAAATAGAATAAAGATGCAAACGTGAAAAGTCATGTGAACAGCACCATCTTCAGCAATCCTTTAGCTGCAAAAATGAACAATAGAATAACTCCTAAAGTTGATTAATCTTATCTTTCGTTTAAATTTTCTCCTATCTAATTCGTGGTGATTTAACGGGATAAGGATGCGTCTTCCCTCCCAAACATATACTTTGCGCAATTGACCTCTACATAAGTCGGAAGTTTTATTCGACGATAACACTGATAAAGAAACAATAGGGGCAAAGCGACGTAATCAATAACGTACACATCTGGGACGGCAAAAGTGAGGCCCGTCAAGGGGTGCGGAGCTTTGGGAGGAGCAGGCTGAGGAGGTGGCAGAAGCTGCAGCCTCTCAATGAATGCACCGAAATCTTCTTTGACGACCTTCTTCAATCTTCTGGTCATGAGAATGATTCCTGCTAACCCCAAGCCCAGCAACACCCATAAGTTGGTAGAGGTCGAGGCCATGGTTCTGGGTTTTTCGTCAAGTTTTGCTTGTAAGTGAGGACGGACCCTCCAAGAGCTCAGAGACCAATCAGGGTTTGCTTTTGCTCGGTCTGTGGCATGTGAATCTGTTGATAATGGTATTGAGGATGAAGAGGATAACACCAGTGCTGATGCAAGCCAACCCAAAACCTAAGCAGGGTGAACAGTGAATACCTAAGCCAGCGAGGAGAGAGAGAATCAGAGCAAATATCTATCATACATGTGATCATGATGTAATGAATTTTTACTACCGTTTTATAATGCGACGAGATTTCGCTTCGTCTGATAGGGCCCTCATTTGGTGAGGATGTATATAATGCGAAATCTGTAATCATTTGAACGAGTCGGAATGGGGTGCAACTGTGCAAGTCGGGCAGGATCGCGTGGGGTTAGGAAAACCCAAATCCAACCCGAGTTATTGAAGCCCCAGGCGGGCAAGGCCCCATCATGTATTCATGTTCATGCACCGGGTACCTCGGTCGACCCGTTATAAGTTGAGTTTGAACGCAATTTTAAGCTCGTGAGTTTGGGTTACCCGATCTTTTATGAATCGGTTTAGGCTTTCTTAAAAAAGTCTAGCCCGAGTCCGAGCCTAACTTAATGATATAATAAATAATCATAAATATAGATACATTATTTTTTCCTTTGTTTCTGTTCTATTTTTCAAGTCTTTTTATTATTTTTGAGTTTGGAGGGTTTTTAATATAAATAAATAACAAAAATATTTCCAAATTGTTGGTGGGGCTCAGGCTCAAGTCCAAGATTTAGGCTTTATATGAGGGTTGGGCTTGGGCTCAAGACCTAGGCCCGATGATCAAGCCAACCTCGGGTTCGGGCCTGAATGTATTTTGTTGATACATATACAAAGCATGGCCCGTTAACAAGTTAGAACTAATTTTCATTTTTTGGCATATTCATATTTGTTTTCGTCTATATCAATGTGTATCTGTATCCAAATAGTCCGATACAATACCTAACATAGATATTTTAACAATCATTGATTATTGCATTATCGAAATCCTGTAATAGGAGGAAATGAAATAATCTAACAACAAGCTAATAAATACAACTAAATTTTCAAATAAATAAATAGTAATTTCTTATAATTGAAACTTTCTCTACATGAGTGAGATCCAAAATCAAATGAATAAACCAATAAAAATGGAATTTTTAAATTTATTCAATTATAAATGTGATATAATGATGGATAATAGATTAAGATAATTCGATTAAATGCATAGAATACCATTCATATTCCACATGGGTTAAGGCTATATTAAAAAATATGTTGGTGGATGTAACAATAATGATTTGATCGCCAATAACTTAACAATTGATGTGACATAATGAAATGATGAATTAGGATTCATGTAATTAATACCAAATACATGGGATAATGTGTGAATGATGATAATGACGATGCCGGTATATTACAATCTTTATAGGTAGAGATTTTTGCAATTGGGTTGGTTTTAGTTTGACTAGTTTAGTTAAAGATATCAAGTATTGAAGTAACAAAATGTGATACAATGCCTTTATTACCATGTCTATTGAGATTCAACTATCTAATGCATCAATTTGAAAGAAGAAAAAAGAAAAATTTAAAGTATTAAGATCAATAGGGGGATGTTTGGTAATGATTTTGTTGTGTTGATTAAGATCTAGCACTGTCGTATCAACCACCACGTCGACGTCTAAACTCTAAACTTCAACATACACAAATGCACATAGAAAATTTTTGTAATGGCCCATTTACAGTGGAAACATAGGCCATTACAATACAACACAATGCATCGAGTTACATGAATATGCATGTTTGAGGATTGTATTTTCTTTTAACTTATTCAAACAATAATGTATTTGAGAACCCATGTGATGTCATGGCAATAAAATTTACTAATCAATTTATACTTTTAAAATGTTTATACCTTTTATTTTAAGGGAAAATAAAGCAATGTAATGTCCATCTAGTTAGCCTTCTTGCATCTTTTTTTTTTAAACTAAATAGGATTGTAGATGCAATGGTAACATAATGGAGTGTTGCGTGACCATTTTGAAGTTGATACCTTAACCCCAAATACATTTATGCCAAAATACCTACTAAAGAGACCATTTCATGTGGGGGTTGAAGCCTTAAATAAGATACCTTCACTATAATGTTTTGGATTAAAATACCCTTTTTTTTTTGTAAAAATAGTTATTTGGGCATTCTGTTTATATATACCAAGCACAACTTATGGGATGTGTAGGTGGAATATCATAAAGCTAAAAGTCAATAAAAGCCTCTAGATAGGCACTTGATCTGCTTGCTTGTTTGTTTATTTTGTTTTGTCATGGAGGAAATTTTAACAAATATTGGCATATATCATATGGTTTCTAAAATTATTTAAATATGCCTTGCCAAAAGCAACTTACCATTGAGGTTGATGGACTAGATTAAAAGACATTGAATGCCCTTTAAATTAACAATGAAATGGTACTCTAATACCAAAACCAATCCAAAGATAAAGTAAGAGGTTGTGTAGTGTGTACAATTGTGCATGGCAGAAATTTCTCCAAAGTTTGGCAAGTAGTGTGTGCAACTATGCATAGCTGAAATCCCTCAAAAGTTTGGCAAGTTTAAGTTTTAGGGATCTCTCTTTCAAGTCTTGCTAATCCCCAAAAGGCAATAAGCATGTTGGTTTTATTTCCATTAAACACTGAAATTGACGCAAATTATAACAAAAAAACAACTTTTCCCATATCTAATGTTTCATTTTATTTGTAAACTTCCCAATTCAAAAAATAAAGTAAAAAAGGGAGGAATAAACATTACAAAATATATATATAGCAATCCCAAGACACAAGACAAATGGCATGTTTGGTTGTGTTGGTGTTTATTGAAAAAAAATCACCACATAAACACTACATGGGTGTTTCTATTTATTGATCATTAAACCATTGTTTGATTTCACTATTTATCAAATAAATACTAAAAAGCATAAACACTTAGATTTATGTGCGTGAGGCATTTAGGAAAATGTTAGAATCTTGTGTTCCCTCAATGCATATGCATTTGTTGAAATGATATGCTTATGTGGCATATTTGGGGCGTTAGAAGGTAAAATACATTTAAAATTATGCTCAACCAAACAATAAAAGCAATAAATGTTTAACATAAAAAAAAATGTTTAAAATAAAGTTGTTAGAATAAACATTTAAAGCAATGAACCCCAAAGATAAACACCAACAGAACCAAATGTATACAAAATCAATTCCTCATTTGACTATTGTTGTTTAAAACAATAAACTATGATAGGAAATGACTAAGTAGCAATGACCAAGGGTAAATTTGGAAAAATACTTTTTAACTACATATTCGGTTTGGCTTGATTTTGATTTTCAAGACTGATAATCCAAACTGACTTGATCTAGTAGCTTATTAATAGGGTGTTTGGTTCCATGGATGTTTATTCAATAAGTGCTGCCACATAGGCGCCACTTCAGCAGTCCTCTCATGCTCTTCCATATGCATTGAGAATGGGCAAAAGTCGATTTCGATTTCAGTGCATACATACTTTTGGAGAAGTTATATTTTAAAGCTTCTACAAACATTTAGGCATTTTTTCACTCGTATGCTGATGTGGTGCCAGTGGTCATAAACGATTATAATTATTATCTTTTTCGATTTTACAAGCAAATAAATTATAAACATCGACAATAACCGAAATTGACCGGCGATTTTGAAAAATCGACCAAAGTCGGATTGGATCGGTTTGACTCACATTATTCACACCTTAAGTACTAGCACTAGCGGTCAATAGTTAATATATTAGATATGAAGCAGTTCATGGTAATTATTTTCTAATTTTGAATTGAAAAGAACAAACAGCTTTGCCCTAAGCAAAAATCATTTATTTTCCTCCCATGACCACGGGAGACGTTGCCTTCTCCCTCGCTTCCCCTTCTCTGAAGCTGAGCTCTGCTCCACGCTTAAAACTTTATTTAATGGACACTTAAGTCCTGCTCCATCCTTCAACCTCTACAAGAATCGATGAACATGGCGGCCGCTTCAAGGCGCTTACTGTTTGGCACTTCCGTTTTCCGTATTCACAGAAACGCCTCTCCAGTTTCATCCTTTATCTCCAATACTCTCATCAACATCCGCGCTTACCCTTCCATTCCTCTCTCTCTCCGATTCACCCAGGCACATCCTTCTCAAAGACCACTCTTCCATGGCTATAGCTCATCCGCCGCCGTCGATAACCTCTCCGACAATGGCGAAGTCGCAAGTTCTCACCCCTGGCCCGAATGGGTGACCTTTATCGATCGTTTGAAGAGTAAAGGCTACTTCGATGAATCCTCTCCTGCGGCGGTCGACGATGAGGCCGAGGTTGGAGGTAGTGACTGTGTTACCGCTGTCACTGGTTACACCAGCAAGGACTTGAACCGCTTGAGAAATGCTTGTCTGAGCTTTGCGCGCGATCGGTTTGACATTTTCAAGTATGTTCTCGCTGCTTGTTTTATTTTAAAGCTGGTTCTTCTGATTGATTATTAAAGTTCAAAGGGTTCCAACCATAGTCTGCAAATTGTGTGTCTTTTCCATGGTATCGCATATGGGCATGCCTATGATTAGTCTTAGAAGGGAACACGATAGATTTGCAGTATACAACCATAAATCTCGCCCTGTATGACTGTATCCTCTGAACTTACGCTGGGTCTTTTCCTAGTGCATTCTGCAATTCTAGAATATGGATTTACCAAAATTGTTGACTATGAAAACTAGTGAATTGGAAGAGTATTTAGAGACTGTAGTCAAACTAACTAACGCCCTCCATCTGGGAAACCCCAGAGCATTGGGTGCTGGAGGAGTATTTAGTGACTGCATTGGAAGTGTTTTGGTAATATACTCAGGCCTTATTGGGGAAGGAAATTAAGTGTGAGGAAACTTGTGGTGGAAGGGGACTCAAAAGTGGTCTTGAAATAGATGCAGCAAAACAAACAAGGACCTTGGCACTATTGGCATTACTTGAAAAGCTAAGAGCCCTTGCTTCAAAACTGAATGCAAGATTCATATGGACATATAGATCAGCAAACATGGTTGCTGATGCTATGGAAAGACAAAAGGTGAACAGGGAACAGTTCTGTTGGGGTATATGGTAACTGCATGTAAGGGCAGGGGGTGGGTCTTTTATACATTTTAATAAAAGTTATTGTTACCAATCAAATAGTAATCTCTCAGCACCAGCCAGACCACCTTACATTTTTATCTTATGAAAAATTTCTGGATAAAGATACCCCTAATTAAGTAATAAAACTGTAATGACAAATATACCCTTGCCTAACTTCTAACCCCAGACAAAACAAGAGAAATTCAAGAATAAGAAGAAGACTTAGATCAGCCTAAACTTCTTACAGGCTTACAGGTGTGGTACTTGTATACCCTTGACCATATCTCTTCTCCAATATGCAGATGATGCCTTGATTTTCTTAGATGCATTAATGAAGCAGATGTATAATCTAAGGGGTGCTCTTAGATGTTTTCAATTGCTTATGGGCTTAAAGATGAATCTCAACAAAAGTGTGATGATAGGTGTTGGGGATATTCAACAATCGGTATCGGAGGACTGTACAAGTGCTTTGGAATGTTTGATTGGAGATTTCCTTTTCTTATATCCTGGCCTGCCCATTGGGGGCTAGGGCATTGGTCCTTCCACTTGGCAACCTGTTCTAGGCCAAATTGAGCAAAGGCTGGCTGGTTGGAAAGGCAGGTGCTTGCCTTTTGGTGGAAAAATCACTCTAGAGTGTTGTTTCAAATCTGTCGATTAATTACTTATCCCTTCTAAAGCTCTTGCTTCGGTTTTGGAAGAGATAGAAAAATTACAAAGGGATATCCTGTGGAATGTAAAGGTGGAGAAAAAGAAATTTCATTGGGTCCAGCAGTAGAAAGTAGGGGTGTTCATTTGGTGTACAAAGAGAATGTTGAGGTGGGAATCCGAAGCCCAAACACAAAGGTGCTAAAACTAAATTATTTTTTGAGGCAGTGTTCATAAGGAAATAGTGGAGGATCATCAGAGATCGAACATGGGGAGTCCAAGGAGGGACGGGCGACAAAAGTTGTGGTAGTAATAAAAGGTTAATGCACTACCATGAGACTTCCTAGTTAATATCCCAAGTAGGGCGATTAGTAATCTCCAAGCACCTGAATAGGAAAAGAAAAATAAGTGTCTTGTTTGGATGTGTCTCCCTCTCACTAGGAACTAGTGGAACCCTCTGCTAAACGTACAAAGCTTGTTTGCTCCTACTTTTGTAAGTTGGCCAAAGAAGAGGGGAAGAATCCTATGGAGGTGTACAAGGGTAGCCATGTTTTGAGCAATTTGGGAAGAAAGGAACTAGAGAACCTTCTTAGAGAAAGAGAGTAGTACGGATGCTCTTATTGAAGCCATCGCCATTAGAGTGATCCGTCGGGTGAAGTCCTTGGAACTCTTTGAGGACATTCTTGCGGGTGGATTGATGAGGAAATGGAGGGAGGTAGCTGCTTCTGTTCCTCTAAAAGGAAGCTTGTAGGTCTTATTGGTCCCATTTTCTAGGGGGTTTATAAAGCTAAATTTTGATGGCAGTAGTGAAGGTAATCCAAGCCCTTCTGGCATTGGAGAAGTCTTTAGAAATGAGGATGGAAAAGTTATTGCAATCTACTCAGGCCCAATTGGGGCAGGTGGTTCATTAAGGGCTGAAATTTTGGCTGTATTGGAAGGAGCTCAAAAGGCCAAAGAGTTGAATTTCTGAAAGTTGTCAATTGAAGGAGACTCGACACTAGTGATAAGTTGGCTACAAAAGGAAGAGGAGACTGGGTGGTGGTGCTACATCTACGAGAAAAGGAAAATCATGAGAGTATTACAAGGAGTGGAGGTGGCATTTCATTGGTCCCACCCTCCAGGGGGTTTTAAAAGCTAAATTTTGATGGCAGTAGTGAAGGTAATCCGAGCCCTTCTAGCATTGGATAAGTCTTTTAGGCCTTATTGGTCCCACCCTCCAAGGGGTTTATAAAGCTAAATTTTGATGGCAGTAGTGAAGGTAATCCGAGCCTTTCTGGCATTGGAGAAGTCTTTAGAAATGAGGATGGAAAAGTTATTGCAATCTACTCAGGCCCAATTGGGGCAGGTGGGTTCATTAAGGGCTGAAATTTTGTCTGTATTGGAAGGAATTCAAAAGGCCAAAGAGTTGAATTTCCAAAAGTTGTCATTTGAAGGAGACTCAAAACTAGTGATAAGTTGGCTACAAAAGGAAGAGGAGTCTGGGTGGTGGTGCTACATCTATGAGAAATGTAAAATCATGAAAGTATTACAAGGAGTGAAGGTGGCATTTCACTGGGTGAAAAGAGATGCCAATGCTTTTGCTGATGCACTAGCTAAACAAGAGGTGGGAAGGAATGATTTGTTTTGGGCTATGTTGTATTTTGATTCTTTTTTTTTTTGATCAGTATATTGTAATTTGATTCTTAGTAGGGGAGGGCTAAGAGAGTTCATCTCTCCCCTTCATCTATGTACTTAATTATTCATATTTAATGAAATTGCTTTATGTTATTGATAAAAAGGGATTTTGTGTGTAGAACTAAAAAAGATGGGGGTTTGGGAGTGGGAATCTTCAATAAAGCCTTGTTGGGGAAATTGGTTTGGAGGTTTGGGAGGGAGAGGGAAGCTCTATGGAGAAGGGTTGTAGCTTGTAAGTATTGGACGGTTAATTTTGGGTGGGATGTGAGGGAGGTATGATCATCCTATGGGGTAACTGTATGGAAGGGAACTATGGGGTTTTCACTCTTTGATGCAGCAGTTCTTGTCTTGGAGAGTGGGGATTTGTGCTAATATTAGATGTTGGGAAGATGATTGGCTTGGAGTTGGGGAAGTTATGTGAGATGTGCCCAAGGCTGTATAGTGACAATTGCTCAATGCAATGAAGTTATAAATAGCTCAGTGGTATGGTTTCCTACTTTTAGAAGACCGTTGCTAGATTGGGAGGTGGAGGAATGTGTGGGTCTGTTATCAAAGTTGCATGAGGTGGTGGTTAATCCCTCGATGTCAGATTCAAAATGGTTGAAAGAATGCAAGAATGGAAAGTTTAAGTCAAATCTGTCTATAATGCTTTGCCTAGCAATCTGGTGGGGCCTGTGGAAATAAAAGGTGTTTGGGGGAAACCAGTTGCTCCAAGAATTGAGGCTTTTGCCTTGTTGGTATCTATGGGAAGGATTCTCACTCACGATAAGCTGAAAAAAATAGGCTTTCAATTCCCAAACAGATGTGTGTTATGTTTGGATGGGGAAAATGTTCTACATTTGCTAGTTCAATGCAACTACGTGAGAGGAATTTGGGGTTATTTCTTCAAACTATTCAACATGGATGGATGATCACCCAATGATGATGCTGAGATATTTGGAAGCTGGCCTAGAGTTATCGGGAATACTAAAACAAAAATCATTTGGAGTTGCATCCCCTTTGCAGTGTGTTAGGAGGTCTGGAAGGAAAGAAACAGAAGAATATTTGAAGAGAAAATGAAATGCAATGAAGATTTAAGGGCATTAATTAGTTCAAAGATAGCTGGATGCAGTGATTTAAAAGGCGCACAGGCAAGGCGCATTTTAGGGTATGTGCCTTGCCTAGGTCCTAGGTGCAGCCCTTTCAAAAGGCACATGCCTTGCACCAAGCGTGCACCTGATGTGCCTTGTGCCTCAGCCTAGGCATGCACCTTTTTAAAATTTACACTTTTTTGAACCTAGCAGTTGGGTTGGGGGCTCTGCCCTCGGACCCTTTCCGGAGCTCTTAGAACCCCCTATTTGCCAATGTTGTTCATTCATTCAATTTAATAAAATATCTTCTTAAAAGCAATTAAAGTTATAAAGTCATTATTTTTTATGTCAGAATTAAGAATTTAAGACCCGAACATGGACTTGTTTGGGTTTGCCTCAAGGGGCATGGTACAGAGGCAGCTCGTAGAATCAGGAACACAATATGTTTTACATCACTTTAGCTACTTGAAGTAATGCAATTGAGGAAAAAAAGAGATTATGGGTTTTACATGCTTGAAAATGTTTTATATGTTTGATTTTATTTTAAATGCACTTTACATGTTATGCTTATGCATTTTAATTTTAGATAATAGGTTTTTTAAGACATTACTTTTAAAATTTAAGTTTATATTTTTATTAATATTATGTTTAATGTATTTTTTGATTTTTCTTTTTTTTTTTTTTTTTTTGTATTTCTGCGCCTTGCTCCAAAAAGGCGTGTGCCTCGGGCACAAATTGCCCCTTACATTTTTTTACGCCTTGTGCTTTTAAATTACTGGTTGGATGGGTTCTAATTCTTCCAGAATTTGAAGGTTTCAGTAAAGAAGACTTTGGAGCCGAATTATGGAGGGTATTTTTGTATTTTGAATTAGTGATTTGGTTAGTGAGTGGTTGTGCTTTTTGATTTTAAATTTCTCTTTTCTCTAATGTTTGGTGACTCCTTGTCACTGTGAAGATGTACTGTGCTTTTTTATCAATAAATTTTCTTCTTTATTTATCTTCACAAAAGCCCTTTTTTTGTAATTTTTTTTGATAGATGATACTTTACATGTGAAGTTTGTTATTTGAATGATATGTATATATATTTTTAATTTCCAATTTTGTTATAGGGCTTTTGGCTTCATTTCTTTATATTCCTTGCGATGCTCCTCAATTAGAAAAAAAAAGTTTTTCTTTTGATCATTAATAGAAAACGATTAAAAAGGACAAATTGTAATAAATCCTTTGGATCTACACTTAAGGCTAAGCTTTTTAAGCAATAAAGGGGACAAAAACAAAATTTTGCCATAAAAAGGTCAAATACATAACTAAAATGTTTTCCCAGTGAAACATTTTCTGGCCCTTTTCCTTCAAACAAAGGGAGCCTTACTGTTAATGGAGGTCTCTATGAATTATATGCTTTTGTTTGTGAATTAGTGCTTACATGACGGTTTTCATGATTAATGTAAAAACTGACAAAAATAGATATTTTGAATGTTACGTTATAGGATTCATCATATAATAAATTTGTTTATTGCCTTTATGTTGCAGATCATTGTCTACAGATGACATTCAAACTATTGTTGAGCGTGGATGTCCAAGCCTGTTTCGGAAAGCTGTTAATTCAGCCAAAAGGTTGAGAGCATTTGTTAGACTTGATGAAGGAGATGTAAGTTTTTTCTTTGAGCTGGTTGAAATGAATTAAAAGGCAAAACTGATAAAATATTAAAGGTAAAATTTCAGTATATTGCAATATTGCAGAAGAGCAACAAGTAGATATATTTCAATCAGGAAGATTGTTCCATTTTTTTTGAAACATAAGAAGATTATTCCAATGTTTGTTTATTTTTGTTTTCTCCCTCTGTGTGTGTATCCATCCATTTGCAAGGTGTTTACCACTTAAATTATTTAGAAGTTTTAGAATTAGAACTGTGAGTTTGGATTTATTGGAATTTCTTGCTTGCAGGTGTGTAGTGCATGTAATTTGAGAGGATCATGTGATAGAGCTTATGTGATACTAAAACAATCTGAAGCTGCCGCCCGTACTGTGGATATTGTGCGTATGTTGTTGATTTATGCACTTGATCCACTTGTCGTTTCTGGAGGAGAGAGACCTCATGGTAGAGAGAAAATTGAAGCATCTGCTCGCAAACTGCTTTCTGAACTGACCGAACTGAGTGAAACATCCCCTGATCCAGACCTTCCAAAACCAGCATTGAAGCCTTCTAACCGAAAGGAACAATCTGAAAATGATATGGATAACACACAGTATCAAAATGTTGAAATGAAGAGAGGGGATTGGATTTGTTCCAAGTAAGTCACATAAAAAACTCATATGCTGGAAACACTTTTTTTTATCAGTGAATGTATGGAAAGGCATTAACTAATGCACAGGTTTTTGTTTATTCCAGTATATAATAAATTGTTGTTTCTTGGAATTGCTTAAACTTGTGGAGTTGGATAATGCATATGCATATCTTTTGGAGTATCATTAATGGCTATAATGATGTAGGATAGCCTGACTGCCTGAGTGGTGGTCAATTCTCTCACAGTTAATGGATCATAATAATGGTAAAGAAAAGAACATATAGATAGAAACCGATGAAGTCAAACCTCTCTGCCTAAATCATGTATTGCTTAACCAGTGGGCCTTTAATAAAACATTGGAAGAAAAATTCCTAAGAATCAAATTCAAGCAAAAATGAAGCAAAGTTTCATTCAGTTTAAAAGTATGTTAATTCCAAAAAGAAAAAAAAAATGTTTATGGCAGTGTTTTAAAATCTGACCCAGAGATTGAACTGTTTTCTCTTTGCCTGGTTTAGTATTGAAGATTCAAGGGTTTGGAGTTATGGGCAGACATAGTGTTCATCATATACACCAATAAAACCCATATTACATGTAAAACATGTTAAAGGGCAGCCAAAACAATTGAAAGAAAGAAAAAGAGAAAGAAGAAGAGGTTGCAGCTTACTTTCTTTTGGGCATTCATCACTGAGGTAGAAAAACATCTTTTTTATATTTTCCCTTCCTCTCTTAGTTCTACTAGGTTCATTCGTTTTCTCTGCCACCTCGTTTCCTTCTCCTCACCCTATAGCTTACTCCCTTTTCTTGATTTCCCAACTCCTACTTCTTATATTTATTGAGAATTTCTCTCCTATGGTCCTACTTAACACCTCCCCTCTTTGTTGGTTTCCTTCCCCAACAAATTACATTTGATTTTTTTATTACATATTTACATTAATTCTCTATTGAAGTTTAATGGTTTTGATGTTTTTTTGATAGATAGTTTAATGGTTTTGATGTTAATCCAACTACCTTTTTCTCCAGGCAACAGGTCGAATGGTCCTACCATTTGGGTCAACAATGGGTTGGAAACAAGTTTATAGATCACACACGGGACACTTCCCTCGAAATCCTAAGAAAAAAAGTAGAAACCAACCATGCCTTTGACTGACTGTGTAATTTTTAGATGGCTCCCAAAAACCTTCTAAAAGTAGGCTTTTTATCCTTAAGTTATCAATTTGAAAAAACAAACAAAATAACTTCTAATACTGATGCGAACCAAATTGCCCCCCTCACTCCAAAAAGAAATTCAAAAAATATATCCTAAAATAGATTTTTTAACCCATTACAAGTTTGGTATTAATTTCTAAAGAAGAAAATAGCTTCTAAAACCAATATGACAATACGTAATTACCTATCCAGTGTTCTAAACACGGTGAGGCAATGGCTAGTTGTTTTGGCCTTGCTAGGTGATGTGGCGACTATTTTCTGCCTAGGTGCTGACTAAGTACCACAAAAAAGATATTTCTATTTCAATATAATGTTGTAACCTCATATATAAGTTAATAAAATGGAAGGCTTTTGTGTGTGTGTGTGGGGGGGGGTGCCTTCAAATATGCTTAAAGCAATTGGATGTGATCACCTTGTATATGCCTATATTGTTAGCTCCATGCAAGCACTGCTCCACCATTTCTCTCTTATTTTAGGCATCTCTATTTTAGATCCCCTCAACCCAGCACATGCCTTCAAACGTGGTTAGCAGAGATAATACTATTTTGAAAGTTGGAGATACACACAAAAAGTAATACTTAAGAACAACTTTGTGGTAGTTGTAAATTGACTAGTTGACTCTTTTGTAACAGTATACATTCCAAACTGATTTAAAGATGGTAAAATGTGTAATCTATCTTAAAAATTCAAAAATTTCAGAAGCAGAAAATCTCATTATGGGCTTCATGGCTTTGTAAATTGGCTGTTATCGCTCAATTCATGTCTGATTTGTAAATCTTGGATTATCAGGCATGTACTAAATAACCAACCTGATGGCATGAATATCAAGCCAACTGAGCTAGTTTTGGCCCGTCAAATTTAGTTTATTAACAGAACAATGGACCTAAGACAGTTCCATATTTGGCTTAATTTAGCCTCAAGTAATTCATTAATAATTCTGAGTGTATCAAGTATCAACAGATCAATTTGTTAATTTTCCAAGATGATTCATGTTTTCTTGTGCATGTTTTTACTTTTATTACAAGTATCTTATGTCTGCAGTCCTTAACATTGACAAAAGGAATTAAGTATTTCAGATGTTTCTAAATGCTTAATTGAGAAGTTCTAGGATGCCATCAATCCATGTGTTTCTACAGGCCTCAGCATCCATTCTGAACCAGGACAACCCAGGGTTACCTACCTGCCTTTTCTAGGATTAACCTAGAAAAGGATTACAAATAGATGACACACCCATGGAGAGATGAGTGGTCCCTGTAGTGTTTACTGGATAAAAAAGTAGAAGTTACACTAGTAATGATTGCAAATGGTATGCAAAGATTATACGTCTTATCTTTGTTGGATGTTCTATTCAAAATTACATATATAACTCATAATTTCTGGTAGATGTTAAATGAAAGAAAAAGTGGAAAATATTTAAAAGTGTTGCGCGATCGCACCCATATCTGATGGATGCTGGAATACCATCTATGTAGACACTAGACAGAGGGACTTCACCTATCCTAAAGAATTTACAAAAGCTGACAAGAAGATGAATGCATGGAATGGTAAATGGACTGAAACTTTTTTTTTCCCCTTTTTTTAAATGTGAAAATTTTATTTTGATATTGTTCAACTTTGCCCCCATGATATGGTTCATCAAAGAACAATAAGGCTGGGTTTGGTTTGAAGGAAAATGTAGGGAAACCTTTGCAAACCATATATTAGGTTTCCTTACCTTTTTTGATTAATGAGTGATATTTTATTCAAAAGAAACAATATGATATTACAATACAGACTGCCCAAGGAGAGGCACAAGCTGGTACCTCTCCTCAACAGCAACAATGTACTACATCAGACTAGGAAATGAAAGTTTACAGAGCTGCCCAGAATAAATGTTCCCTTGATACCCCTTGCTTAGCTAACCCATCCGCTATGGTATTAGCTATTTTACCCACCCACTGAGAATTAACAGTCATGTTCCTTGAAAACCAATTAGCTTTCCTCATAATGTCCCTGTAGCACCAAATAACTGAATCTGGATTTTTTAACCAACCCACAACAACTTTGGAGTCTCGTCTCCTTCAATAAGCAAATTCTGAACTCCTAACTGGTCTGCAATCTGAATACCTTGTACCGCCGCTAGAAGCTCAGCTCTAATAGAGTCTCTTATACCCATGGAGCCTGAGAATAAAGCTAAGATATTGCTGTCTTTATCTCTCAACACTCCTCCTATCCCTGAGAGATCTGAATTTCCTTGGCTGCTACCATCAAAATTCAGCTTTGTCCAGCCTTCAGAAGGAGGCACCCACACAACTGGTACCTTGTTCGTCCTGGTACTGCTACTAGCCACAACTATCCAGTTCCTCCAAATGTCATCAAAGGAGTATAGTTTAAAGGAATCCAATGATCTCAGCCAGTGGATTGCCCTGGTCAAAATACAATCCTTTATTGCCTGAATATCTCTCATTCTCTTGGAAAATCCTTGCATTTCTTTCTTCCCAAATTGTCCACAAAGCAGCAGCTCTAATGCACCTCCACATTGTTTTACCAGTTTTTGTGGGCCACACAAAGAAGGAAGGGTCAAAGAGCTGATCTACGGTTGTAGTCAAATTCCACCTGCACCCAGACAAGGCAAAGATCCAACCCCAAATAGCATCAGAAAAAGAACAGAATAAGAGTAAGTGAGAGCAGTCCTCACCATTAGCCCTGCAAAGTACACACCAGTTAGGAGACAAATACATGGAAGGCCTTCTCTTCTGCAATAAATCCGAAGTGTTGATTTTCCTATAGAACACCTCCCTGGAGGGAATAATAATTTTAGGAGGTACAGGTCTAGACCAGATCTCCTTAGCTGGAAAACCCAACTGTCCTGAGGAAGAGCAAAGGTTTCCCTACCTTTTCCTTCAAACCAAACATCGCCTTATGTGGGAAAACTTTTTGCCCATGTATTTACTACGTGAAAAGGCAGACGATGGAAAGATTGGAAAATCACATATTTACACCTGGATCTGTTGTTACTTAATGCCACAGAAATAAAGTCACTACCCAATACAGGTCCATCTGTGTTCTTGCCTAACATTTTGACTAACACCACTGACATTTATGTGTGTGTATGTATGTATGTGTGTGTGTGTGTGTGTATATATATATATATATAAGAACAATAAATTAATGAAGATATATGCCCAACTTCAGTAATACTTAGGCACATCTCTTCATGAAGTTGCTGTCATGTGTGTGTATATATATTGCATTTGTTTATAATATCAGGCAATAAGACTAATATGCACCTTTCTGTTCAATGTTGCAGGTGTAATTTCATGAACTTTGCTAGAAACGTGAGATGCCTAAAGTGCAGGGAAGATGGGCCAAAGAGAGTTAGTGTTGATGATGTTGAAATGAAGAAAGGGGACTGGAACTGCCCAAAGTAAATCTTCCTTTCCACTATGACCTCTGTCTTCATTATTATCATGTTGCCATTACAAGTGCATCTTTTCTGGCTGGCACTTGTTAGATAAATATTCTTCAACTGGATTTTGTTTTATAGGTGTGGATTCATGAATTTTGCTCGCAATATGAAGTGCCTGCGGTGCCAAGAGTCACGGCCCAAAAGACAGCTAAATCCAGGGGAGTGGGAATGCCCCTCGTAAGGCTCTTGTTTCATTCAGTGTTGATTTCTGACATGCAGTTTATTGATATTTGGTTATGAATATATTGTTGAGATTGGGTTAGAGTTTATTGATATAATTGATGGATTAACATTTTTTTTTTAATTTTCTGCAGATGTGATTTCTTGAACTACAGGAGGAATATGGTCTGCCTGAAGTGCAAGTGCGATCGTCCAAAGGATGAGGGGATGCAGTACGAGGATCAAATATGGAAAAGGCCACGCCAAGTAGCTTCTTAAACCATCTAGGGCCTGTAGATATGTGTGCCTGAATGATGATGGAAAGTGGAGTATATCATAACACTATCTTTTTGGTTGAACTTGTGTTCAACAAGGAGGAAAAAATGATTATCATTAGAAAGAAAAGAGAGAAAAAGATACCACATGTGTTGATGATACAGACTGCAATGTCCATAATTAAGCTTGCTTTCGTTGTCCTTGGAATTCCCCATTTGAAATTGGAAGTTATTCAGGTTGTTAGAGCTACATTCTTATCCATAGCCAGGATTATATTTTTTCTCAGTTGGCTTCATATATGAGCTGGTTTTTGTTTTTCCTGCACTCTTTCATTTAAATGGTCTACATTCTTATCAACCAGAAACTAAAACAGTATACCAGTAATCCAAGACTCACCATATACTAAAAACTATCCAAGACATAATGGACAAAAATCTTTCCTACTTGAATGCTTGACAATCTGAGGCTACTTTTTCTCCTCGTTTGGTAGTTTGCTAATTGAAAGGGACTCACGTCGTCGAAAAAAGAAGTTTACCAAAACAAAAGTGGTGGAAAAAAAGGAATCAGAGGTGCTTGAGAGCTCCATCATCGGATTAGACAAGACTGCTAGCACATAATATTGGGAGATGTCTTTACATGGATTCTCAGATCAGCCAATCATCTCACTACTTAGCCAGTTAGCCCCTGGGAAGATTATCTTTTGGGTTGAAACATGTTGCATGATTTCATGGGTTTATCTGATTGTATCCAAAGTGTTTTGTACAACCGATTTAAATACTTTTAACATCAATAAAGCATTTTCAGTTACTGATAAAAACATGGTGGTTATCCACAAAATTCCTCTGGACATGAAGATGAGAGCATTGAGAGGTATGGATGAGCCAATGAGGGGTGCTCACCTTCGTCGAGCTGAACAGTTATCTCCATCAGAGATCTCCTTTCACTGTTGTGCTGCTGAAGTTTCCAAAGGTGGCTGTACCAAGACCAACGAGGGATGATGCAATTGGTTGCCTCATTTGCAATCTCCTCTCATTTCATTGACTATGTTACCCATATACTGCAAGGAAACGACCAAACATGGTGTAATATAAGGAATTTACACTAAAAACTGAGTTATACACTACAGCATCCTGGTATTGTAGTTCATTGACACCAATTTTGCATTGAATTTCAGTACAAATTTGCACGCCAAGGAGGAGCAAAAGGGTTATGAAAGTGCAATTATGTACTGTCAAGAAGTTAGTCAGGTACAAATTTTGGGATTGGTCAAGGTTTGCACTGCAGACAAATGCAGACTAATGATTTCAAATTTGTCGTTTTTCTTCGTACAAAATGCTTTAACAATAGAGAGAAATTCTGCAACTCTTTGAAAGCTTTGAGGATAGTACATCAAATCAAATGGTCCAAAGTCATCTCATCATGCTAATTTTTCTTATCTTCTTTTGGTAGCATAGAGCATCACTTACATGGGACTCATCCAATGGATGATCCAATTGCTTGGATGTCCAACACTTACCAATTTAGAATGCTCGACATTGCTACTGCATGTCCTGTGATCCCAGTGGCGAATGTCAGGTGCAGGAGCATTGCACATATCCACATAAAACAGAAATGACTAAGAGTTACATTTATGTGAAGTTTTCTATGTTCCAGACAGTTGATCACAAGAAACACTTAAATCAAGCTGGAATTACACCAGATGTTCCTGAGATTCTAAACCATATGCTCAGCTCATCTTTAGAATTGAAACCAATGAAACCTTAAATTTCCTCCAAATTAAATATCTAGTCTGAACCTTTTGCTCAACCAAATGAAACTTGTATGTGCTTAATGAATGGAACTCATGGTCCAAAACTAAAGGTCTTTGTGGTACTTAAACCGAATGGTGATTGCTTGCACTCACAACAAGTTGACCTTGAAGTCACCAAAGCTAGTATCCACACATAGGATCCTCTAATGCAAATAGAGAGAAGAAAACAATCTAATCTCCACCATTACTGCTCAAAAAACCCCTGAAAACTTCTAAGGTCATAATGTTTGCCCAGCACCATGTTTGCTCTTTTGAATAGAACTAGTCTGACCAACTTTGTCAATCAACTCTGAAAAGGTAAGATAACTTGGCTTCAAACCTTTCTTAACCATCTCATTATAAAGATGAAGGGCCCTTGTCATATTTCCATTCTTGTAGTAGGCATGAATCACCATCTCATAAATGAAAACAGTAGGCAACAATGATCGATCTTCCATAACAGTTATATAATTCTCTGCTTCCTTTGACTTCCCACATTGACATAGGCTTCTAATCAATGATGTATAGGTCATCAGACCAGGAGAGAGGGCCCTATATTCCATCTCATAGTACAACTTGAGAACTTCTTGGATCTCACCTAGTTTCCCATATCCATCAATAAGATATGAATAAGTGAACTCATCAGGTAGAAACCCTTTGTCTAACAAGATAGTCAAGATGGTGTTGGCTTGCTTTACATCATCACTTTCACAGAGCTTTGCCACCATCTTGTTGAATGTAGGGCAACTGGGCAGAATTCCTTCCTTTATCATTTCTTCACAGAAGTTTAAGCTTTCTTTCAATCTCCCATCTTCAACAACTCCCTCGATGAGAAAATTATACGTGTCAGTGTATGGCTTCAACCCCGTGACTTTCATTTCTTGCATTAATCGGTTTGCTTCATCAATTCTTCCCTGTTTACAGTGGGAACCTATGAACAGAGTATAAAGAAAGGAATTTAGACGGATGCCCCTCTTAAGCATTTCTTCAAACGGCTGTTCTATGGAGTCTAATGTTCCAATCTTGCACTTGCCATGTATAATCAAAGAATAAGCTACATCATCAAGTATCATGTTTTTCTGAAGAATCCTCTTCAACAAAAGAATTCCTTCTGCAATTCTCCCCTCTTCTAAAATCCTATAAATTAAAGAGGTATTGACTATCACACCAGGAGAGCATCTCTTTCCATGAATTCTATCCAATAATTCTACAAATTTCTGCAGCTTCCCTTCCTTGCACAGTGCACTGATCATGATTCTTGTCGTAATTTCATTTGGGTAAATCCTGTTTTGTATCATAAACTCATAAATATTCCAAACCAATTCAAACTGATTTGATTTCTGAACAACGTGGATTAAAGTGTTGAAACTTATTAGACTCGAAGAGAACCCATGTTCTTCCAGGTAGCGACAGATATCAAAAGCTGTTCTGAACATCCTCAACTTGGAATACGTTTGTATCAAGAAATCAAACAGGAAATGACTCGAATTAGTGCTCTGGTAAGTATCAAGCAGCGTCTCAACAACCACAAATCCCGACAAATCTCCTCCGATGCTCTTTCTTATAACCGACTCTAGCAAAGCTCGGGCGTCGTTGAGCATCCGGGCTCGAACTAATATCTGAACTGCAACACAGTATGATCGAATTCCGTGTTGGAAACTCTTCCGTCGAGCCGACCAGTGGAAGAAACTCAAGGCCCGTCTGGCGTCCGCTGGCTCTTTCAATTCCAGCAATATTTTCTCGACAACCGAGTCGGTTAACTTGATTGAATCGAAGTTCCCACTCAGTGTATCCCAGTTCCCACCTCTCCTCAACGAATCGCAGACTCTGTCAATGACTTCCCCACTCTTTGATTCTTCCTTGCCTGTGTGAATTGCTTCAACCATTTCTAACCCATGAATCTGAAAGCGAATACGCCGGAAGTTACGGATTTCTGTGGAGATCAAGCTCCGACCTATTCGAAGCGAAAACCCCATTTGGATTTATCGAACGGCTCTATTTTCCAGAGAAGTTCGAGGTATGGCGGGAATTTCAAAGGCTTTCTTGTAACAATGGACGAGGGAGAGGGCGTTTGTATATAGTAAAATGACCAATATGACCTTTCGGTCATGAACGTTGTTATTCAAACATCGTGGTAGTTTTGGTAATTCGATAAATATAAAGCATTTTAAACGGCCTTGTCTCTTCCGTTTCGCTCCAAATTGCTAAGAAAAACGTTAGGGTTTTATAGAGGCAGAAATGGCGAGTAGAGATGAGTACAAGCTTCTTCATATAAAGGATGCCCTTACTTGCATCAACCAGAGGGTGAACCTGGTAGGAGCAGTGTTCGAGTTTGGAGTTCCCAGGCAGAGCAAAGGAACGGGTATTCCACCTCTCTCTCTCTCTCTCTCTCTCCCCCTTCCTCCCCCCTTTTCACTAATATGATGAAACGTAAGTGCATTAGTTTGTTTTCTCTGTTTTATTCTAGTTAATAGTCTCAATATATTTTGTTCCATATCTCTGTGACTGCTGTTTTGTTTATATTCTTTTTTTGAAAAGTTAAAGTATAGCATTACTGTCAAAAAGTGTTGATACATCAGATTTGCCATGCAAATACAAAGACTGTACATGGGAATGTACATCATAACTGTTAGCATGATATTAAGAAAAGAATATTGTATCCCTGTCAAAAAATCTATTAAAGCTAGATTTCTGAACTCCTTGTTTGCTGCCAACGAAGAGCAAAGTTTTCCTTTAACGTCCCCAACATCTTGCTCATCGAAACAAATATTCTAAAATATCCCGGCATTTCTCTCAACCCAGATAGATCAAAAGACAGACATAGGGTCTAGGCTCCACACTACTTTCCTTCTTTTACTTGAGCCATCAAGCTGCTAATTTAGAAGAAATGTCTGAATGGATATCTGTATGGCTGCTGTTGGAATCTTTTGGGTTAAAAGATGGAAAATTTGCTCACTGAAGTTCTATACGAGAGTAGGCTCTTTTGTCAAATATCCTTTCAAAGTTTTTGCTTGGTGGAAGCATCACATTGTCTGAAAAGTAGACCAAGGTATATTGATCTATCAAGAATGAAAATTGCTAGTGAATCAGATTAATGGATTACGGCTTTGCAGCTCTATCTAGATTTTGTGATATTATGCAAGTGGTCCTAAGTTGACCAATACTGTTAGCTCATGATTATTCAAGTGAACATCATGCTTGTAGACAAATGGCCTGGTCTTTGTTCTGCTGCCATTTACAAATGTCAGAATATTGTAAATGGAATGGATTTTGTCCTTTTATATTTTTGTATGATATCTAAAAATTACTCAGGGAGTATGTTCATTCTATGGGTATAAATACATAAGAAGGTGGTTTGTTTAATTTTCAGTTCAAATAGGTTTTAATCGTTCTGCCACAATGTCATGCTTTTGTACTTCAAAACAAAATAAAACGAAAATGATAATAAATTCTCTTTGATTTAATATTTGAATGCTTCATTTTTCTCATGATACCTGCACAGAACACCTGTACACCACTGTATCTTGACCCATGTTATGCATTGCCAATGTTCACTGAGCTTTCTCAAGAGCTAAATTAAACTTAGCAATATGCTGTCTAGGTCAAACTTTATATCCACAACCACCCATCACTTGTTTCACTTTGCAATCCATACACTAACACCATTGTTGTTACTTTTGTCGTAATCATTATTACTTATTACTTTGGAAAGGTAAAGTATTAATTATATTACTCAAACACTTAAACATGGGTGGCATACCTGTGTCAGACACATATGGACACCAACACTTACATAACATTTGAGATGACTCTTCTCTTCATTGCATCTTTACTAGTTATGACTTATGACATGTATTAAATGAATAATAGAATCAATCCGAGATGACATGGTTCTGTAACTCACAGGTTTTGATGCAAATCAATTGACATTTAACTCTATATTTTCCATTCTTCTGGCAAAGTAGCCTTCTGTGTTCTGAAATTAGTTGACATCTTTGGAGTTCTCTAATGATCTCATCCAAGAATATGTTTCTTGGTATAATTATTTTCCACCCTGATTTCATGTAGACGGTTGCTTAACTCCATACTATCTCGCCTAAGAAAAATAAAAGTGAGGTGCTTGATAGGTCTCTTTGATCTAGATGGATCGTTGTAGTTTTGCTAATATTCATGAGAAACAAATGGTGTGACCATTCTTGGCCCACACCATGCATTTTATGGTGGAATCTTTCTAGTAATTTGCAAAACATCAAGAAATTGGATTATAAGAGGACCAAGTTCTTGTCAAAGTTAACCTTTATGTCCCAACTTCCCTTTCTTCATATTTTCCTTCCACCCAAATACAGAGGAACATGCATGCATGTGTACCATATACAACATTCTTACATATGTACACATGCATGTATTTATAATCTCTTTACTTCCTGAGCATTTGGTTCAATGACATAATGAATAACATTGTTCTCACTGGCAATGATGACAAAAAGGCCGGACTTACAGCTGCCTTGGATCCCATCCAAATGGTAGTAGAAGGATGAAAACTCTCATAAGGTGTTTGTTGAGCCAGTTAATAGATGATAGGTCATCTTAAAGTTGGTATTGGATTAATTATGGTCCATCAATTTGATTTTAATTGCTTATTTTAATGAATAAAATTGTTCTCAYTGGCAATGATGACAAAAAGGCCGGACTTACAGCTGCCTTGGATCCCATCCAAATGGTAGTAGAATGATGAGAACTATCATAAGGTGTTTGCTGAGCCARTTGAGAGGTCATCTTAAAGTTGGTATTGGATTATAATTATAGTCCATCTATTTGATTTTAATTGCTTATCTTAACTACTATATTATTGACGCAGTCTGATAACTAACTTGGTGAAGAAGAAGAGATGATCTTCCATTTCAAGGCTACATGAGGAAAACATGCAGCTAGATGGGTGGAGTTCCAAACCTCTAATTTAGAGTGTATCTCTATCTAAATATTTCCAAAGTCTGCAATCCAAGTCATGAATGCTATCTTAGATGGCACCGGGGAAAATTCCAAACAACCTTGTGAGGAAAAGCTATGTTTGTAGACGATTACAATTGACAAATTCCCATGCAAAGACCTCAATAAGAACTTACCTGACCTATCCCACCTACACACCATTCAGATGGATGCTTTGCGGTATAGATCAAAGATCAACTGTTTTGGCTATTTCCTAGTCATGGGGATTTCTATGAAATTTTGTGGTCCAGATGGCCATGTCACCCCCACTAGAGGGGTGGAGTTCCCACCTACACATCATTCATATGCTGCCACTGCCTCTTTATTTTCAGAAATTGTGTATAAGTTTGGCAATAGATCTTCAAGGGACCTATTGTCACAATGAATGTTCATCCAAAAAATGAAAATTTGACCAACTTCCAAACATGTATCCTATCCCTTTGATGGAGTCATAGGCTTTTTCAATCCCTTTTTAAACTGAACACCCATGTTTAGATCAAAAGAAGTCACCTGAAGGGAAGTTAAATATTTTGGCAACCAATTTGAATTAGGGGTGATCATTTTCAGCCTGGCCTAGAAATTCCAGGTGTGAACTATATATGTTATTTTATGTTATATTTTATATAGAAAATTATAAATATTATTATATGTAATGTTTTTGTATAAAACAAATTTATATAATTAATATTTTATAGTAGAAATCACTGATTGCAATTTTAGATGAATTCCTTGTGAAGAGAAAGAAGAAGAGTTTCAGCAATAGAGAAGAAAAGGAGTAGGATGTCAACTAGAATTGATTAGTTCTGGCCGCCAGCCCCTCTTTGTACTTTTTTTTTTGATGAATGATAATAAATTTAATAATTCACAAGCAGATTAAGAGTGAGTTCATACATCCCAGGGAGAGGCACGAGCTGCAACCCCTCCTTGAATCTTACAAGTAAACTAGGAAAGAAAAGCAAGAATCACAACTAAGCCCAAAACAATTCTTCCCAATTTACTCCTTGCTTAGCTAACACATCTGACAAAGTATTTGCTGATCTCCCCACCCACTGTACAGTGACCAACATATTCCTTGTCAATCAACTAAATTTCTTCATTTCATTCTTGTAACGCCACATAGCCTCTTCAGGATTTTTCAACCAACCCA